ACAGTAGAAGTGAGTTATACTGGGGTATATTATTATTACAGTAGAAGTGAGTTATACTGGGGTATATTATTATTACAGTAGAAGTGAGTTATACTGGGGTATATTATTATTACAGTAGAAGTGAGTTATACTGGGGTATATTATTATTACAGTAGAAGTGAGTTATACTAGGGTATATTATTATTACAGTACAAGTGAGTTATACTAGGGTATATTATTATTACAGTAGAAGTGAGTTATACTAGGGTATATTGTTATTACAGTACAAGTGAGTTATACTGGGGTATATTATTATTACAGTAGAAGTGAGTTATACTAGGGTATAGTATTATTACAGTACAAGTGAGTTATACTGGGGTATATTATTATTACAGTAGAAGTTAGTTATACTGGGGTATATTATTATTACAGTAGAAGTGAGTTATACTAGGGTATATTATTATTACAGTAGAAGTGAGTTATACTGGGGTATAGTATTATTACAGTACAAGTGAGTTATACTGGGGTATATTATTATTACAGTAGAAGTGAGTTATACTAGGGTATAGTATTATTACAGTACAAGTGAGTTATACTGGGGTATATTATTATTACAGTAGAAGTGAGTTATACTGGGGTATAGTATTATTACAGTAGAAGTGAGTTATACTAGGGTATATTGTTATTACAGTACAAGTGAGTTATACTGGGGTATATTATTATTACAGTACAAGTGAGTTATACTAGCGTATATTATTATTACAGTAGAAGTGAGTTATACTAGGGTATAGTATTATTACAGTACAAGTGAGTTATACTGGGGTATATTATTATTACAGTAGAAGTGAGTTATACTGGGGTATATTATTATTACAGTAGAAGTGAGTTATACTAGGGTATATTGTTATTACAGTACAAGTGAGTTATACTGGGGTATATTATTATTACAGTAGAAGTGAGTTATACTAGGGTATAGTATTATTACAGTACAAGTGAGTTATACTGGGGTATATTATTATTACAGTAGAAGTTAGTTATACTGGGGTATATTATTATTACAGTAGAAGTGAGTTATACTAGGGTATATTATTATTACAGTAGAAGTGAGTTATACTGGGGTATATTATTATTACAGTAGAAGTGAGTTATACTAGGGTATATTATTATTACAGTAGAAGTGAGTTATACTGGGGTATATTATTATTACAGTAGAAGTTAGTTATACTGGGGTATATTATTATTACAGTAGAAGTGAGTTATACTGGGGTATATTATTATTACAGTAGAAGTGAGTTATACTAGGGTATATTATTATTACAGTAGAAGTTAGTTATACTAGGGTATATTATTATTACAGTAGAAGTGAGTTATACTAGGGTATATTATTATTACAGTAGAAGTGAGTTATACTAGGGTATATTATTATTACAGTAGAAGTGAGTTATACTAGGGTATATAATTATTACAGTAGAAGTTAGTTATACTAGGGTATATTATTATTACAGTACAATTGAGTTATACTGGGGTATATTATTATTACAGTACAAGTGAGTTATACTGGGGTATATTATTATTACAGTAGAAGTGAGTTATACTGGGTATATTATTATTACAGTAGAAGTGAGTTATACTGGGGTATATTATTATTACAGTAGAAGTGAGTTATACTGGGTATATTATTATTACAGTAGAAGTGAGTTATACTAGGGTATAGTATTATTACAGTAGAAGTGAGTTATACTAGGGTATATTATTATTACAGTAGAAGTGAGTTATACTAGGGTATATTATTATTACAGTAGAAGTGAGTTATACTAGGGTATATTATTATTACAGTAGAAGTGAGTTATACTAGGGTATATTATTATTACAGTAGAAGTGAGTTATACTAGGGTATATTATTATTACAGTAGAAGTGAGTTATACTGGGTATATTATTATTACAGTAGAAGTGAGTTATACTAGGGTATATTATTATTACAGTAGAAGTGAGTTATACTAGGGTATATTATTATTACAGTAGAAGTGAGTTATACTGGGTATATTATTATTACAGTAGAAGTGAGTTATACTGGGTATATTATTATTACAGTAGAAGTGACTGGTGGTCAGTTGGTATGTAAGTTACTGGATAACGAAGTCAGCTCTAGTGGTGATATAACAGACCGTGGTGTAATAGGTGTATTACAGATACCTACCATCAACCCTGTATTACAATCTTTACAGTTTAACAGAGACCAAACTAACTTACTCTTACCTCTTAAATCTAGGTAAGTTGACAGCCTATCTAATCAAAATTAGATTATAATTTTGCATCTTTTTTATTTTCTCATATATTTAGTCTCAGTGGTAATCTAAAAAGTTTGATATGAACGATATGTCTTAATAACCTTTCATTTAACCAATCAAACCATGTCATGTAGATAGAATTATTATTTTATATTAAACTGGATCTACACGACACACTTGATTGTTTAGCAATACTACCTGGAATTATACATTATTTGTTGAATATTTTGTACTTTCAGAAAGCCATCGGGTAATAAAACAGAAACAACAACAGAAACGAAACCTATAGTTGATAGTGAACATTATCATATGGCTGTACATGGTTTACAATTATTATTAAACGATATGAATAGCTGTGATCAACCAGACTTTAATGAACCAGCTGTGTTAATTTTACCGTTACTCTCTGACTATTTTAATCATTATATATCTATGTTGAATTTGAATGAGGATAATCCTGTGTTAAACAGTCCTACTAACTCTAGTTCCTTTAAAAGTAGTAGTTGTGAGAGTTCTATTGAATCATTAACAAGTTCATTAGGTCTGTTGTTAAAGGATGGTGCCAGTTACGCTCAGAATATTGAGAATTTGACATCGACGGCATTGACAGTGTTAAAACATTTAGTGATATCTAGTACCAGTGTGAGAGGTAGTTTAATCCCCAGATTAGATCCAGTACCAGAAGATCAGAGAAGACATCATCAAGCTACTAATCCAATTTCTACAGAGGTTAGTCTTTTGACATGGGTTCATTTGTTCCATATCCAAATTGGCTTGCTGAAGATCCATCATCCAGTAATTTGAGATCCAGTGTGCTACAGGCTGTACACATGGATGATCTCAATATCAAAAAAGGAGAAAGCTTTTAAACACTATCCTTGCAAAATTTACCTTATTGTACACTGCATGGTATTGCCAGTCTTTACAATCCAGTTCAAAGTCACTTTGAGTGCAGTAGAAAAATGGAACATAAAACATGAAACTCCATTTCATTTCACTTTTGAAACGCCATTTTATTCTAGTTCTTGAAAATTCACTTTTTTCAACTATACTCTGGTGTATTTTGATATTTGCAGGAATCATCTGGAATGGAAACAGATACAACAGCCAGCTTATTTACATCCTTATCATCTACAGTATATCATAAAATAACATCATCTAATATACTACAGACTGTTATACAACTAGCTACACCTTCACTTGATGTAAGTATTAAATTGCTGGCAACTCATTAAAGGGGTTGTATGCTAGCTTCATAAACACAAGATTTGATTTAAAAAAAAGCATGTTATCCCTCTAGTACTCTGCTGTATTAATTTTTGTTAATATTGGATAATCGTTCCTTGTTTTCTAATTTGTTTGTCTAACTTCAATATCATAGCCATAGTATTGGGCCAAAATCCCAAAGAACACTATATAAAAAAGAATCATAATAAATGCTGAAAAATAAGAAACAAACATTTTGATCTGCATTTCAAAAAGGCTGTGGTACACCAGTGTAATTGATACAGTAAATAATTTTTATTTGTTCAACTTGATTTCAGAGCTCTGTGTTTAATTCTACTATTGTACGACAAGCCATAGATGTACTGACAGCTTTAGCCAGGAAAACTACAGCTTCACAGTTAGATAGGTATGTATTATCTGTAGTAAATCATGTATCAAGGTGCCTGTTTGAAAGTATAAAGAAGTGATGTCTGTAGTAAATCATGTATCAAGGTGCCTGTTTGAAAGTATAAAGAAGTGATGTCTGTAGTAAATCATGTATCAAGGTGCCTGTTTGAAAGTATAAAGAAATGATGTCTGTAGTAAATCATGTATCAAGGTGCCTGTTTGAAAGTATAAAGAAATGATGTCTGTAGTAAATCATGTATCAAGGTGCCTGTTTGAAAGTATAAAGAAATGATGTCTGTAGTAAATCATGTATCAAGGTGCCTGTTTGGAAGTATAAATAAATGATGTCTGTAGTAAATCATGTATCAAGGTGCCTGTTTGAAAGTATAAAGAAATGATGTCTGTAGTAAATCATGTATCAAGGTGCCTGTTTGAAAGTATAAAGAAATGATGTCTGTAGTAAATCATGTATCAAGGTGCCTGTTTGACAGTATAAAGAAATGATGTCTGTAGTAAATCATGTGGTATATTTTCAGCCTGGCCTGTCTGACTGGTATATTAAATAACTGTCTACATTGTGGTACAAATAGTGGAATATTAATTAGTGTTTTACAGTTAATGATGGCTTTGATACAGTTGGATAAGATACGATCTATTTTAACCAGCCAATCAGGTAGGATTATATTTCTCAACAGCCTTTGTATTTCCTGTTTAGTTTTAATAGTAAACTTCGATGTAAATCATTAGTCAAGTTTACAAATAAGGAGATTAATTTCATTAGAAATAAGGTTCTGTTATGTATGGGGTTGATATGGACACTAGTCTTGCAGATGGGACAATAAACTGAGACCATGATTGCTACTAGCAGTAGTCAATCTGTATTTCCCTCATTTGACACTTGCCCTCTTCATTAGCCTGTTCAGGTGTAGAAGAGTAACTCTATTCCATTTCTTTTCTAGAAAGTTGTCCTCTATCATCTTTATATCAATTAACAGTCAAACAACTAGACATTACCAAACCTGAACGATTACATCTTAATAAAAAAGTAAGTTAGATTTATAGGCAGTATAGGGTCATCTTAAAGTACAATGAATTCCTAGAGATTTTTAAGCTTTTGTATGTTTATCAAATACATTCAAGGCTTCAATATTGAACCATAAAAATTTTAATTAGGATCCTATTTTATGTTCTTTTCACTTTTTGTATTTCAGATTGTAGAGTTTTTGTTGAATTTTTGTTGCTATAGAAACGGAGTGAGTAGTTTAACAGAGACAACATGTATGTGTTCAGCTGAGGTTGGTCTTTTGATTTGTTTTTTTTTTTCATATCATACTAAAATATATAATAGAGAACAGTTTTGATTTGGTTTGATATATTATTTCATCTGATAACGTCACTGTAAATTATGTTGAAATGTTATGTATTTTGTTATTAAAGAGGTGTGTTATACTATAATATATTCCTTTGCGGCTTTTGTTATATGTGCACCCCTCTTCTAAATGTTGCTTAACATTTATCCCCAAAGTTATGACAATATTAATTTCTTTTTACCAGTTAACCAGAGCGTCAGTGTTAGTCACCCATTGTGTTTATGAAGATTATCTACAGTCGAGTGATGATAGATTAATAGATGTTATAAAACAAGGGCTACAACTCCTACATGTACAATGGTTATATGATAATAATGTATTAACTAATAGAGAATTACATACTGAATATATCTCAGCTCATCTGCTCACTTCATTATTAAACCTATTTCAAAAAGATGAATCTAAATACGAAAATGAAAGTAAGTCATGTTTATTTTAGGGTGACTGAGAAAAGTAGGTTGTATTTGAAAATGAGTCCCTCTTTTTGCACTCCTTTTTGAAGATATGCAAATTTAACATTTTTAGTCTGTGATTCTGTGGTGCCAGAAAAAATTGAGCACATAAACATCAGTATGGTAGAAGTTAATCATCTTCAGTTGAGGAATCTCTTTTAATGTACACCTCCAGTCAATCCTCTCTCTCTATATATACATTTATAGAATACAAGGTGTAATAACTTCTATTTGATCTAGTTATACCACAGCTTACCACCTGACATATTTATACAACGAAAAGATGAGAAGGATTGTCTTTATCATGTTATAACTTCCATTGAGGTGTCTCTTTCAATCAAAAACTTCTTCAATTGCTTTATGTTCGGAGTTTGACCAATGTTTATCTATTTTATATTTCAGTAGCCATTTTGACTGAGCTGTGTCACCATGCTGGTCTGGAAATGGAGGAAGACAGTGATGAGGAATCCATGGAGGCTGATCCTGTTCAGGCTGTTCCTGATCCTTGATCCTGTTACAACTTGATCCTGTTACAACTTGATCCTGATCCTGTTACAACTTGATCCTGATCCTGTTACAACTTGATCCTGATCCTGTTCAACTTGATCCTGATCCTGTTACAACTTGATCCTGTTACAACTTGATCCTGATCCTGTTCAACTTGATCCTGATCCTGTTACAACTTGATCCTGATCCTGTTACAACTTGATCCTGATCCTGTTACAACTTGATCCCGATCCTGTTCAACTTGATCCTGATCCTGTTCAACTTGATCCTGATCCTGTTACAACTTGATCCTGATCCTGTTCAACTTGATCCTGTTACAACTTGATCCTGATCCTGTTCAACTTGATCCTGATCCTGTTACAACTTGATCCTGTTCAATTTGATCCTGTTACAACTTTATCCTGTTACAATTTGATCCTGTTACAATTTTATCCTGTTAATGCTGTTCCTGATTCTGTTAAGACCACTACCGATCCTGTTCAGTCTATTCCCGATCCTGTCCAGTCTGTTCCGTGGCATGTTCACCAATGACCATACTTAAAAGGTGTCACAATCCTTGAATTCTGGAAACATGTTGGTGTATGAATCAAAGTGTAAAAGTCAGTTCAGAAATTCAGAAAATAAGGTTGTACACAAGGTCTTCTTTTGACTGGATGTACGAATGTTGAAGATTAGAAAGTAGTTGTTGATGAGTTTGTTGATAATTTATGTGAATAATTTGTATATTTTGTTTATTTATATATTTATGTTTTGTATATAAACTGTAAAACTCTTTATATATTTCATTGTGATCCAGAAACTTTATGGTCAGAGAATACAGGAACATATTCTGGCCCATTCTGGCACATTTGGATGGGCGCTTGAGTTCCAGTCTGAAAGCTCTGCATGTAGAGGACTGACTTGGAAAAAGCGTCTAGTCGACAATAAACCCAGGCCCCGTGTACTACAGGTTGTGCACGTTAAAGAACCTAAAAATAAAAAAAGAGCAGGCCAATGCCGCTGTCCTGGCAAAATTTACCTCTTTGCAACCTGCATAGCGTTGTCCGTCTTCATGAGCCCACATGGTGCAGAAAAATAGCACACTCCATTCATTTCATTTTTGCTTGTGGACTTATTAGAAGTTATCAAAGACTAGGTCTTATATGTTGAGGGAACTCGGTATGTATACATGATGTCTTGTATTGGTCTATTGAAATGAATTTTAACTGTTGGGCGTGATATCGGTAAGCTTAAATCCGCTTTAAATATCGCTTTAAGTACAGGTACACATGACAATCTGGTATATATCCGGTTCTAGGGTTGGCTGTCTCTGATCTCTAGTAGAAACTCTGTCAGCTCCCATAACACAACTGAATCAATTGATGTTAATTGATCATATTGTACTATAAGCTATAAATTACTTGAAATATCTAAAAAAGGTTGTCATCCTTTGGAAGATACTCTTACAAGTAACTATGAGACATGTACTGTCATTCGATAATGAAATGAATGGAGTTTTACGTCTTACTTTTCTGCACCAATTGGGCTAATGACGACGGTCAACACCATACAGTGTGCAATGAGGGAAATTTTGGTCAGGACAGCGACATTAGCCTTCTCTTTTTCGATTTCAACTGTCGAGGGATCTTTAATGTGTACAGCCTGTAGCACACGGGGCCTTGGTTTATTGTCCAATTCGGACGACTATCCAATTATTATTGCTGATGTTATCTACTTTATTTCTAATTAATGGTTAGGATCTGTACAACCCAGTACGATTTGTTAACCACCAGGTACGACTGTCAACTCAAGCCCTGATCACATGATGATAAATATAGGAGTAAAGGTAATATTTATACCAATATCATAGAAATAATTATCGGTTTAGATTTGAAGTTATTAGAGTTATTATCTTTAACAGATCGGCCAGTATCTTGTGTCACTTAAGTAGGCAAACCTCGTAAAGGAGACAAGGTAAATAAATATTCATGATGTTAAGTGATTTTCACACCGGCCAGTAAACTTTCTTCTACTTACGGTTTGTTTTGTAAATACAAACACAGGAAAATCCTTAACAATATCTGAGTATGGGCAACCCCTTTCGTATTAAAAAAAGGTCTTGTTTCATAAAAAACACTAATATAATAATCCTCTTCTCTTCGACTCGTCCGAAACTGTTAACTATTTCTACCGTGTTTCACTTTAGTACGTAAAACTCGTATAACTGACAAGGGTAATAAATATTCAATATTACTAAGCATTAATATAGCAGTATGGGAAGCCTCTTATCCAAAGTTTATCAACTACTAACATACATAAACAGTCATACTTAGTCCAAAACATCTGCCTCTATTCCAGCCTCTGGTAAATATTTTGACAGTTATCGACTGTATATCTACATGGCCGAAAACTTTAAAAATAGCTACAAGAGGTTGGAATAGAGGTAGATGTTTCAGTTTAACTTGTATCAAGCATAGGACAGAAGAATGCTTAAACTTCGCAGCTCCCTGAACTGTTTGGTGATAATTCAAGTCTAAAGGAAGTCCTAGTGCTTTGACTTAACAGCAAAGTTCCCCATACAAAGTTCAGATAATTCTATCAATTATCATACATAAATATATTACGTTGAAAAAAAAACATGAAACGAATATTGATATTAAAGTACTAGGTACTATATGTAATATAATGTATCTATATATTATCTTATAGCCTATATTTAGCTTGTTTGAGATTGGCTCTAATATAATAATAAATAATATTCAGATATAGATAATTATAGACTACTATATCCCTTCAATTACTGATACCACTATTCCATTGGACCAAAAAACATTCGGGTCTTTAAAACCAACGAGCACCTGCCGAGCAAGCCATCCTGTTCGGGGCTTGGATAGGAGCAAAGTGGTTAAAATTGCATTTCGAGAAGAATTTGGTCATTAGCTAAGAGTGGGAGCATCCACGGTTTGATAAAATGCGGCTTTACATCGCATGTTTATTGTTTACATGTGGAATATTTTCCAAAACCTTCTCTTTACCAACTCTGATCCATCTACCACCAGCACACAGCGAGAACGAAGTAAGGAAATATTTGAGATTTTACTTGATTTGGTAGCCGTAGTGTTGTTCCCTTAAGACTCTAGGCTAGTATTTCTCGATTACATTTGACGTTGCAATCAATGCACCAACAGTTTGTTGACGTTAAAACTAATACACCAACGGTTTATTGACGTCAAAACTAATACAACAACGGTTGTTGATGTCAAAACTAATACACCAACGGTTTATTGACGTCAAAACTAATACAACAACGGTTGTTGATGTTAAAACTAATACACCAACGGATTATTGACGTCAAAACTAATACAACAACGGTTTGTTTATGTCAAAACTAATACAACAACGGTTGTTGATGTCAAAACTAATATACCAACGGTTAGAAAGTGTAAGCACTTTATTTAGATAAGTAATGAGGCACAATATTGAGAAGAGAACAAATTGTAAGGACGTGAACTTATATCCATTTCAATATTTCAGATTCCAGGTTATAGAGAACCAGATACAGGTAATTTGAATTCTCTATCATATGTATTGAGTTGGACTTAACTTCTTGTAAATTCAATAAGAAATGATATATCTTGTGTATTATACGTTTATTTCTCTAAAGTAAAATATAATATCTAAGTGGACGAATTGTACTAAACTGAATTTGGAATTTTTTCATGTAAAAAGTCAATTTCATTATTCCTTAACATTCCACCTTTTTTTTAAAAAAATATCTTGTCAATTTTTAGCCCCCAAGTTCCCAGTTATCAAGGAACATATTAAAGAATTGCCTTTACCCATAGACCTATCACAGGCACTGACGAATGTACTGGGCAGATTACCGAATACCGAAGACATAAAGGATCATTCAGTTTTCGGATTAAATACTGCTGTACATGGAGTTGTAAATCATGAATTCAGACCACATAAGAAGCACGAAGATTCCGAATCCAGACCACAATCAGATCATGTAGCTGAACCTCGCGCGTTTGGTAAGCCTGGACTCGGACCACATAGGGAACATGGAGCTGAACATTATGCGCATGGTAAGCCCGAATTCAGACAGCATGAAGAGCATTGGGGTCTTGAAATCAGACCACATGACGATCCTCATTTTGAACCTCATGGATCTGACCACGAACAGGCCAATACTGAAATAGGGCATATAGATGAAGCCTTTGAACCAAAACATAATGGTCCCAGACGAGTACACAAATATCATGAAGTTGGACTAGATTGGGCTAAAGGAAAAAAAGAAGGAAAGAAAAGATTGAAGAAAGCTAATGAAATTGAGAAGAAAGCTAAAGAAATTGGTGAAAAGTATCTGAAGGATGTCATCCTCGACCATCAACAACTTATGGATGTCATGTTCAATGAAATGGAATTGTTTTCAAAAGGTAAGTTTCATCATCTTGCTTGTGAACAGGACGTAGGACTATCAACTAATTTACTTGAAACTTTATATATTTGTTGATGGACAAGACTGTTTCCTATGTTATTCTTTCTCGAACAAGGAACCGGATTGAAAAACCCGAAGATATTGGACCTTCGGGTTAGCGAGCAAGCGTGTAACTCTCTGAGCCACCGCGGCTCCCTATTATTCTAAGACGGAATTTGACTTTGAAATTGCTGCCACAAGGTGACTTGACACACAAAATGTCATGTAGGAAATTTTATGGTCGTTATGGAGAATAAATACAATAAATCTGTTTCTGGTATTTTGGCTGATTTGTTTGGTCAGGCAGGAATTGATCTGGTTGTATCTCATGATTTTTACCATTTTGGTAGTTGTGGTGTCGCGCGCGTAGCAGACCATGCTAAGTCTTTTCGAAACACCTGATGGTACCTCTCTTTGTAGGAGTCCACTACCACACAACTTTTACTTTCGATTTTGCCATACTTTAGATGAGATTTTGATTAACGGAATTGTCTTGCTTGTACAGATTTTTTTTGAGAGCATCTGAATTGTCAATGTCTACATGCAACTGCATCAGATGATGGATTTTGGTGGAACTTATACCAGCTGATTCAGCTCTCCAGCATTATCTGTATCACCTTTCAGCAATAAAATTACACTTCCTTTTTTACTGTCTTTCAGACAATCTTGAACATATGTTTGCTTTGAATAAAGAAATTATGAAAATAGACGAGGTAAAGAAAATATCACATAAATTGAAGAAGATTATCTTTTCTAAAATTAACGAAGGTAAGGAGACTTTTTACATATAATAAGCGGAGTTACGTCCCATGTTCTGTACATGATTAATTAAACTAATGAAGACAGATCAACATTTGTAGGAAGTCTGTGGCCAAAAGAGGAGTGGGGGAGGGGGTCGTGAAATGGTCAGCCACCTCTCTCACAGCCCCGAATGCAAGTTTTTCGGGCATGAGTCCATAACTAGGTTAGAAATTCGGGCAACCTCAGATATTTCGCCCCTCTCAGCCGTCAACCTGGCTCTTCCACTGTAATAAGTTCTAAACTATTTCTCATTATAAAATTTCAAACTCTCTACAGAACTGTATTTATGTTTTGATAATTATATTTCATACCTGAACTATTTTTTCAGTAATTCCTTCAGTGCTGTCATGCCAAGATATTGATGAAGATAATGAAAAAGACCCTGGTAGGTTGTATATTAGTACAAGTTTATTTAACCTGTGTGAGGCTGAGGGTGGGGCGTGTGTGTTTAGAAGGTAGGAGGAGAGGGGGTATCTTGTGACTGGTGGTATCTGGATTGTCACAACTATTAGCAACTTTCAGCGTCAGGCAATTTAATCTTCCGCTTACCCAGAACACACCACACAGATAATGAAAACGATCATCCAAGGGACGTTACAAAATATCCTGAAAAGAATACTGCCTATAAACTCGGTCAATAACAGTTGAACTGTATATAAGGCGATATATCCATTAATTTTAACAATTATTGAAAAAGGCTTCTAAGCAAGATTCAAAATTACTAAGATTAATGAATTATTACTAAGTGTTATAGAGGGATTCTGTTGTATAATTATGACGACAAGAAAGTCCAATGCAATTTTGGCAAAGTGAATGAAATTCAATTCTCTGTTCATCCTAAGAGGTAATATAGCTTTCAGGATAGAATGGTAACTTACCTAAGATGATTTTAGAGATCCGGTAATCTGATTGGACGATCATTGAAACAGATTTGATATTTAGTTTTATTAACCAGTCAATACTATATTTCTGAAAAGTTCTTAATAAAGTTGAGTTTTTGTGAAACGACTCCTTGAATTCCAAGTTGATATCAGTTGGACTTTTTTATTTAAACCTATTCTATCAATAGGAATAATGGAATCCGAAATAATCAAATCCAGATTGGAATGCCTTCATCTTATCTCCACTGAAATCAACAGCAGAATGAAGTCTGTTCTTCTAAATAGTTGTAAGTTTTTAAACATCTTCTGTACCATCTGGTCCTTACTTCAACAATGATTCATGGCAATGATTTTTCACGTATAACAACTAAGGTTCTAAAGGATCCTTTCTTCCAGAAGGACGTTGGCTAAACCTGATTTTACAAATTTAACAATCTAGGTTCGCCAATCCGAGCCCTCGATGGGATGTCGATAAATAATAAACCATTAGCCTTTCTGTCGAGAGCTCTGATTGGCTTTATTCGCTGGCGTACAGTCCAATCAAACCACTGATTTCTGTGATAACTGAACAGTGGCCATAATAGCATGACATTGTGAACAATGATTTCAGATGATACCAACCACACTCTAGAAGATTTGGTTACAATTCTTTCACTCAGACAGAATCTCATCAAAGTTCAAAAACAACTGGATCTAATGAGCAACCCGGAGATTGTAAACGAAGGTAGGACGATTAACATGTTATATTGAAAATGTGTATGGAGGTCTTTCAGGGGCTGGGATTCTAGAGATCAGCGCCTCCTCTCAAAAAGCATATGAAAGGAAAGACATTAGTTGGTCGCTAGTCTGACGGAAAGGGATGGTTATACTATAATTTTTGTTGTAATTGTGAGCAAAAGGTTTTAAAGGGATTGTAAAGAGGTTTTCATGTTTCATGTTTTTTTTTTTATGTGTATCGGGGACACCTTTGACTTTTGTTTGGGACATTTAAATTCTTCGTCCGATGCCTGTGGTTCCTGCAAGAGAATTCGTAACCAACCTACCAACAGACCACAATACCATAATAATACATATATGTACAGGTTATCTCCCCTTACAAGATGCCTGCATTTCTAACTAAAAATTGCCGACTCATTCACATTTTGCTTCACCGTACCTGAAACTCTTAACTCCGTCTTATATTGCTTAGTTTTAACAGAATAGAATCCCTTTACGATTGTGACTCAAATTAATCAACCATGCTACAGTCCCATGATTCAAAGCATCCTCGCAAATTTTGGTCAAAACAAAAGGAAATAACATTTAGATTAGCATTTTATTTTTAATTTTTAGAACAAGAATTGGAATACGACGATCTTCTTTTCTCAGATGATTTGCTGACATATGATATGGACTGTATGGACACGAATAAAGATAATTTTGGACACCGTCGTGGGAGACGCCACGGTAAACCAGGCCGTAGACCATCTCCGACTACCATCAACATTCATAATTACTACCGCGATATGATCCAACCCAATGCACATCCACCAATACCTTATCATCCCGACTCGTCTGATCTATCTTCGTATACCTACCATCCCATGATAGTTCCAGAGACTTTAAAACCATTCTTAATAAACATCCTCAACAATTCCAAACACAAATTTCCAGACGTAACGCACGAAGCAGTCTCTGGCAGCAAACCCCACTTAGTCGGATTAAAAGAACGTGGCGCCCATAACAACTATCCAAACAATAAACATTACTGGGCTAAACACTCCTTGGTGGGAAATGGTGTTCATGGGCACTTGACCGGATACACCAGTTTACCAAGCCATCAAATCGATAATCCTGACGGTTACAACAACGATGAACGAAACGGTAACGTTGATAATAACGATGAACAAAACTACTACGATAACGACGTCGAAGGAAACAGTTATTTCATTAACAACGGTGAACACTACGGTTACGGTTATAAGAACGATGAACTCTACGGTTACGGTTATAACAACGATGAACAAAACTCTTACGGTTATAACAACGGTGAACAAAACTCTTACGTCAATAACAACGGTGAACGAAACGGTTACGTTTATAACAATGATGAGCAAACTTTTTATGGTTATAACAACGGTGAACAAAACGGATACGCTCATAACAATCATGAACAAACCGGTTTCGGTTATGACAACGGTAGTCAAACCGGTTATGGTAATAACAACGGTGAACAAACCGGTTATGGTTATAACAACGGTGAACACGACGGATACGTTTATAACAATCATGAACAAACCGGTTCCGGTTATGACGACGGTGAACAAACCGGTTATGGTAATAACAACGGTGAACAAACCGGTTATGGTAATAACAACGGTGAACAAACCGGTTATGGTCATAACAATGGTGAACACGACGGATACGTTTATAACAATCATGAACAAACCGGTTTCGGTTATGACAACGGTGAACAAAACGGCCACGGTTATAACAACGGTGAACAAAACGGTAACGTCAATTACAACGGTGAACGCAACAGTTACAAACAACAATACTACAATAACGGTGGTTATACAGGCTCTTACGGCTACGGTAACAACTATAACGGCGATTCTAACACTTACAATTCCGGTAACAACCCGGAATATGCAAAGTCTAACGGCTACGGTTACAACGGACGCGATGACTCCGACACGTACAATTCTGGTAACTATAACGGACACGGTGGTTATAACGCTTACAATTCCGGCAAAGGCCACGGTTACAACTATAACGGACACGATGGTTACAACAACAAGGGTTATCCACAAACTAACGGCTACGTTTACAACAATAACGGATATCAAAATGTCCATGGTACATACGGTTTAGACCACAATAGTTACGGTTACGGCAAGAATGGATACAAAAATGCTAATGATATATTAAACAACCAACAGTATGATAGTTACGACCGATCTTATCCCCAATGGTCTCAGGCTAACAACTACGGCTCCAAGTCTAACAGCTACGGTTTAACTGGCTATGGTTCTAACGGCTACTACAATAATTACGGTTACGGACTAAACAATGCAGATGATGTGGAACATAACGACGACACGAACGTCCATGCTAATAACAAGAATGATGATACTGATTCGGAGAAGATAGACCACACCGAATCATCAATGTACGATACAGGTTCAGAAAACACAGACGATATTGACGAAGGCGATAAAATTCATAGTATTAAAGATTATTTTAAAATATAGTTAAAGTGCTCTACGTATTCCCCCATTTCCTCCTTACAGTTACATTACAATACATCTTTATTCGCTCAAACAGGTGCAGAGAAGTTGTACATATGGCCATACCTTAACCTTCCTCAACCTTACTTTACCCTTTTCTACCTTGGACTCCTTTAGGTAAATTTTAAAAGTATTAAAACAACACTCTTCTGCCCTTCTGTAATCAGCTACAATCGACTTCAGTCTTCTTTTCTATACACCCACCATCTTACCACCCAGAATGTTACGAGTATGGAAAGATAATATGAATTTCTGTTTAAAAATGGAGATACTTGTAAATAAACTGGTAACTGGTAACGACTTCTGCTATAGCCATGGAAATTATTTCAAATTTTAGATGTGATACTTTGATATTGTGATATTTATTACTTGATAAAATCTTTTCGTGCAACTAGTTGTTTTTCACTTCAGTGATTAGATCTCGATTTTAGCAAAAAGTTTCAGTTCCCCCTTTCCCTTGTTGGTGATGTTTTACGCAATACGTCAAAGTTACCCCTAGTCGGATAGGCGTGTTTTTGACAACAGGGCAAGGCTCTTTTCTAGTTTGTGATGAGAGACGGAGAGGAGTGTTTCAGGCAGCATGAAAGGTCCTCCATTTCCCCTTGGTGATGAAGAACGAAGAGGCGTGCTTTATACAGCAACTTTAGGGTTCCCCTTCTCCTTATCGGTGATGAAGTGGGAGAGGAGTGGTTTGTGAAGATCCCCTTTTGTCGATGATAGGTCTGAGTTAGGCGTGGTTAAAAAAAACAGGTCTTGGGTTCACAATAAGTTCGCTTGATTTATTGGAGTTACTTCCCTTAACTGTCTTTCGTTGTCGGCGTCATTAGAATTAAGGAATTTTTCCGACACCTTTAACGTGTTTTTCAACATTTCATGGTATTAACCTGAATTATTCTTATGTGTACGAATTGTACTTGTTTAATTACCTCCCCCTGCACCTGCAGGTAACTTCATTATTATTATTGTCATACTGTGAAACCGCCATCTTTACAATACAATATCTAACCTCATAGTTTGAAGAGTTTTCCCTTTAATTGTGTCTAATTACTGACTGGCGGGTAACAAATTGATTATTGATAATCAAAATTCGATGCATGCTCCATCAATAGGCTACACATAGAGAATCTGTAGTATATCCATCTTCACCTGTCTTAGAACATATTTTAACATTTTTTGACAAGATATTTTAGTCTTTATCTTTAAGATATAAATAGGCGGAACCGGGTATAAAATCTTGACTGTATTCTCGTGTTAAATTAATCATTAATGTCCGATAAATGTCAACTCATCATTTTCAGATAAAATCTTAAAATTAATCCTTCAAGTTGATCGCCAGACACATGAGTTAACATATTTGTGTTAGTTTTATTTATAGATCTGAGACCTGTTTCACAAACTTACCTTACTGTTTATAACCGGCTTTACAACATCATGGCTCCCCACCCCCCACCCACCTCTTTTTTTGCTCTATATTCCCATATTTACTCCCTCCTTCTTCATATCATCTGATAACGACACTGTAAATTATGATGAAATGTTATGTATTTTGTTATTAAAGAAGTGTGTTATACTATAATATATTCCCTTGTATATTCAGCTTCTAATGTCGTTAAGAAGATACATCAAGTTTATTAGAAATACAGTGTTCCGATAGGCTATTAGGGATAAGTTTAATTTATGCTAGATTCTAGTGATTAATCAGAGTAATTAAACTATCAAATCATCACAAGTTAACTGGTATGAAACAGACCCGGGTTATACATTCCTGCAGGGGAATAAATTAGAGATTAGCAGCTTTTGGTTCAAGTTCAAACAGGCCCGGGTTATACAATTATACATTTGAGCAATCTCAGATATTTCGCCCCCCTCGGACGTTAACCTGGCTCCGCCACTGATAATAGGTAGCAGTTTGGTACAGTTTTCCGTATTCAGAATTGTGCATGCACATACCAAACTATATTGTCTATCTAGATAAAAAGTACTTGATTCAATAACAGTTTTCAGTGATGAGAATTGGCGAGAAACTAACTCCATAAAGTAATATATTATTTATTATATACACCAATAAACCAATGACTTCTGATGGTGAAGATTGTCTTCAAGGTAATAATTCATCCTATTGGTTACAGTCGCCATTTTCGGGGGTAGATTTGGGTCTGGAATATATGTTAATAGTCTTCAGAAACACTAAACATGTAAGAAAATCACATAATTCCTTTAAAAAATATCTCAAACTAGGAATTTGACTTTCTATTTCTATTTATGCATTTTCTATGTATAGCAGTGTCTCAAGAAAAGAGGAGTCGTCATTTTAACTTTCAAACGCAGATAATTCTGGACACAAGTGGATTTGAAAGCGGCGAGCTGTGAACACTATTACTGATTAGTTTAGTTAAAAAATTCCCGTTTCTAAAACTAAAGTACAATATAGGTTTTTAACTGCAAAGATTTGATCAAAATTGAGTTTAAATAACGACTTTGTGTGTTGCTATCAAGTAGATCTCGGCATGGTTGTCTTTTCAAACACCTGGCACCATTCTGAGACTGGTATTATTAACTCGACATTCCTTTCGTAGAGTCCCATAACTGATACAGTTTACTTTGGGTAATTTGGTTTTTATATTCGACATTCCGTTTTGGGAGTCCACATAGCTAATACTGTTTATTCCTTTTTGGGAGTCCACATAGCTAATACTGTTTATTCCTTTTTGGGAGTCCACATAGCTAATACTGTTTATTCCTTTTTGGGAGTCCATATAGCTAATACTGTTTATCTGATCCCTCTATTTGTCAACTCAGCATCACTTACTGAAGGTCAACATACCTACATTGTTTATCTGGTAGAGACCACATAGGTGAATATTGTTTATTTGGTAAAAAAGGTTTAACGTCGAATCCCTTTCAGAGAGTCCACGTGGCGAATATTGTTTATTTGGTATATAAGTTTATCAACTCGACATCCCTTTCAGAGAGTCCTCATAGCGAATATTGTTTATTTGGTATTTAGGTTTATCAACTCAGCATCCCTTTCAGAGAGTCCACATAGTTAATAATGTTTATAAGGTATTTAGGTTTATCAACTCAACATCCCTTTCAGAGAGTCCACATAGTTAAATTGTTTGTTTGGTATTTAAGTTTATCAACTCAACATCCCTTTCAGAGAGTCCACATAGTTAATAATGTTTATAAGGTATTTAAGTTTATCAACTCAACATCCCTTTCAGAGAGTTCACATAGCTAATAATGTTTATAAGGTATTTAGGTTTATCAACTCAACATCCCTTTCAGAGAGTCCACATAGTTAAATTGTTTGTTTGGTATTTAAGTTTATCAACTCAACATCCCTTTCAGAGAGTCCACATAGTTAATAATGTTTAAATGGTATTTAGGATTATCAACTCAGCATCCAATTCAGAGAGTCCACATAGTTAATAATGTTTATAAGGTATTTAGGTTTATCAACTCAACATCCCTTTCAGAGAGTCCACATAGTTAATAATATTTATTTGGAATTAGAATTGTCAACATCTATCAACATAGCTTGTTTATTGTATATGGTTTATTTGTAAATTTGACTATAAACGTTAGAATTTTACCCTCTAAAATATTAAATGATAGCCGAATTTAATGAGTTTTGTTTCAAATTTTAACTTGGGAGGAAATTTGACATAATCTGTCATAATGAACACGTTTTAATGCTAGTGTGATTTTCGCTGATCTTTGTGGTTTTAAGAGATTTTGACCAGAATGATTTTGGTAGCTGTAGTTGTTGTGGTAGGCATAAGTCTGGAACTTGCAGGTAAGCTTTAATTCGTATTTTGGGTTTTTAAAACAATCTAGAAAATAAATCTCTTACAGTTGTGACACATTGTGTTTTACTCTCAAGTGTCAAATTTGTATGATGTCGTTATAAATCTTAATATGGTTATAAAATTCAAGCGCAATGGGGGAGGCATGCACTCTTTGGTTACCCAACATGAACTTAAATGTCGGTTAGGTGTTTTCATGACGGTCATTTATTTACATTGAATATTGTTATCGTTCGAATGATTCGAACTAATGATACAGCGATAGTGCCATTCTAGAACACGATCCTGCAGTAAATGGCGACATGTTTTGAAGACCATGAAGGCAAGGCATGTAAGATGTAAATTACTATTTTTTTTTTCTTCTTCATTTTAAATAGAAATCACTTTTATCACCAAAAGAATATCGCAGTGGGCATGCCCTCCCCTTCCATGGAACAATGACATCACCAATGACATCATACTGGTGTACCGGAAGCGCACACGCCCTTTGACGTATCTGACTTTTCTTTTCAATATTTAGACGTCCACAGTAGATCCAATGGATACTTGCACTGGAGGATGGCATGGCCCTGTATTCTCGAAACAATCTTAGCACAAGGTCGTCCTAGGTCATAATATCTAACACTGTTTTTAGGACGTCCTAGGGCTAAGATCGTTTACCGGGTCAGGTCAATATTCAATATATAGGTATTTTTTACTTACTATTCCAGTATCGATCGTATCAGGGCATCTACCATCCAATTTACGCAGTCAAAGTGACATCTCGGTAGTTGTCGGTGTTAAAGCCTCTAATGTTACCAACTATGCCTATGCTAAGAGTATTCCGCGAAATTTGTCACTTTCCACATATTTTATAGCGGACAATCGGGGGAACCAGGCCGGTGTCATTGAAAGTCACATGTCTAGCTCGGTCGACCGGAATAAAGTCTTGGATTCAGTTTTTCCAGAAGAGCTGTTGGAGTCTCCAATAACGACGAAAATTAACAAAACCGAATCCAAAGTGACGCATGTGCTTCCTGCTCCACCACCTCATCGCAGTCGAGAGGATATCACCATCAATACACAGTCGACGAATTCCCAAAATCGCCAAGGTAGTAGAAATGAATTCTTTGCCAGTAAAGCAAACGTACGAGATCCCACGGGCTCAAAATTTTCTCAAATAAATTCATATTCCAGTCAACCAACGAACTATCCTACCAAACATCAATTCTCTCAAAATCCGAACACGAATCATCAAGTTGACAATTCAAGGTTTGGTGAATCCCGAATTGGACAGCGGAATCAGCTGCAAGGGCATCAGCCTTTACAAAATCCTATCCAGCAACCACAAGGGGCTCCACGGTACTCTTCCTCATTTCAAAAGACACAAGGCAATGCGAATCAGCAACAGGAAAATCAACAGTATTCAGCTTCTGAAACCAATTATCAGAACCAGTCGCCTAGGCAGTCAACAATTGAACAACACTCACCTTACCGACCACCATCAGCCCAATCGAATCTTCAGTCAGTACCACCAGAAACCCAACAGTCTTCTCAGTACCAACCGTCGATGAATCCCCTAATTAATCCTCAATATCGCCAACAAAATTTCCCACAACAGACTACTTTTCAGCAATCACATAATCAAGGTCCTTTACAAACCAGCACACATCTCAACCAACAGTCGCAATCATTAGGTCAGCAAATTCAAAATTACCCACAGCCTATGATGCAGCCACTTGCTGGGCAAGAAGGTAATCAGCAGGCTTCAATGTACCAACAGACACCGAATCAGTTTCCACATCTTAATGGTCAGCAAATGCAACAACATCAGCAAGATATGACTCAACCACAGGGTTCTATATATCCGACAATGCCCATAGAAGGAAATTATCAGGGCCAACCAACGGTACAAGAGAATCAGTCCTACCAACATCCGATGCAAGCTTCTCCACAAACCGATCTTCAGCAACAACATCAACCGCAGCCACCGGTTCCCTACAATCACCCAATGTCCGCTGGACATCCAACTCAGTATATAGGTCAATCACCATCAATTTACCAGGGCCAAGCAGCAGCAGCCCAGCTAGGGATTGACCAAACTCCACCACAAGTAGATCAAGCCCCTTATTTGGCACCTGGATCAGAACAACTACCACAAATGGTACAGCAGTATCCGATGGAGCAAGGTATGCAGCAGTACTTGGATCCTTATCAGATTGATCAGAGTTTCCAACAGCAAATGACTCATGGAAATAGTTTAACACAGCAGCAGAGTCAGTCTGGACTCGACAAGTTTATCAACTCTCACCCAAGGCAGGACATGCCACTGATGGACGTACCGGCACCGCTTCAAAATGAACAGGGAGAAATTTTTCTACAAATCAATCCCAAAAGTCAGTCGAATAATGTGTTACTTTTCAACGATAAAATAAGTCAAGGACATCCACCTGCTTCAGTTAATGGTGAGCTAGAAGTCCCTATTCCAAGATTCCCCAAACAGCCCGGTTTGTACCCAGTAGACGTTGGTCCTCCACTTTCAGATTCCACCAATGGAATACCTTCAACTATCAACGGAGCTGATATTTACCCACTAAAATCTGTCCAGAAAAGCATGCTATCATTTCCTTTACCACCATCTTCCAATCCTGAACAGCAATCAATCTTATTTGGTAATGAAGGATCCGCACTCGACCAGGGCCCAGAATACTCCCACAGACATGGATCAAACAACTCACCGATCCATGAAACACACGCCCAACTACTTCAAGGACCAAACACTCAACCAAGCCAAGGATCAAACACTCAACCAATCCGAGGACCAAACAATCAACCAATCCGAGGACCAAACACTCAACCAATCCGAGGACCATACAGTCAACCAATTCAAAGATCAAAACACTCAACCAATCTATGGACAAAACATTCAATCAATCCGAGCACCAAACACTCAACCAAGCCAAGGACCAAACACTCAACCAAATCAAAGACAAAACACTCAACCAATCTATGGGCTAAAAACTCAATCAATCCGAGGACCAAACGCTCAACCAATCCGAGAAACGCTCAATCAATCCGAGGAACAAACGCTCCACCAATCCGAGGACCAAACACTCAACCAATCCGAGGAACAAACGCTCCACCAATCCGAGGACCAAACGCTCAACCAATCCGAGGACCAAACACTCCACCAGTCCGTGGACCAAACACTCAACCAATCCGTGGACCAAACACTCCACCAGTCCGTGGACCAAACACTCAACCAATCCGAGGACCAAACACTCCACCAGTCCGTGGACCACACACTCAACCAATCTATGGACGAAACACTCAACCAATCCGAGGACCAATCCCTCAACCAAATCAAGGACCAAATATTCAACCAATCTGGAAACCAAACACTAATCCAAATCAAGGACCAAATACTCATCCAAGCCAAGCACCAAACACTCAACCAAGCCAAGGACCAAACACTCAACCAATCCAAGCAACGAAAACTCAACCAATCCGAGGACCAAACACTCAACCAAGCAAAGAACCAAACACTCAACCAATCTGGAGACCAAACACTCCACCAGGTCAAGGACCAAACAGTCAACCAAGCCAAGGACCAAACACTCAACCAATCCAAGCATCAAAAACTCAACCAATCCGAGAACCAAACATTCAACCAATCTGGAGACCAAACACTCAACCAGGTCAAGGACCACACAGTCAACCAAATCAAGGACCAAACAAACAACCAATCCTAGGACCAAACAGTCAATCGATTCAAAGACAAAACACCCAAGAACCCATCTCTCAAACAATCCAAGGACCTAACACTCAACTAATCAGAACACCAAACACTCAACCAATTAGAACACCAATCCCAGTATCAAAAACTCAACAATTCCGAGGACCAAACAGTCAACCAATCGTAAGACCAAACAGTCAACCGATCGAAGGACCAAATACTCAACCGATCTCGAGATCAACTGCCCTGCCGGTCAAGAGACAAAACACCTCGCTGAAAGAAGGGTCAGCTCAGCAGTCGTCAATGGTCATTAAGAGGCCAGTTGGGGCTCAATTTTTGTCAGTTAATCAACTGAATCAAAACAGAACCCCTTCACTGGGAAAATCTTCGAGTCTAAATGGACAGCAAACACGCGATTTCAAGGCATCGTTTCTGAAAACATCACAACAGCCAGTTCAACTAGATCAATTCCCACCAGTTCAACTGAACGAACAACAGCAATCATTACAACTAAACCAACAACCACCAGTTCAAACTAATCAACAACAACAACCACCATCACCACCAGTTCAACTAAACCAACAATCACCAATGCAACTAAACCAACAACCAGCACAAGTAAATCAACAACACCAACAACAGTCAGTTCAACTAAACAAACCACATCTTGTTCAACTTAACCAACAACCATCAGTTCAACCAAGCCAACAACCACAACTACATGAACAAACATCAATTCAACTTAACCAAAAACAGCCAGTTCAACAAAACCAACACCAACACCAACGACCAGTTCAACTAAACCAACAACAACAACCACTTCAGTTAAACCAACAACAACAACCACCAGTTCAACTAAACAAACAACTACCGGTTCAACTTAACCAGCAACGCCCACCAGTTCAGTTTAACCAACAACAACCACCAGTTGAACTAAACCAACAACAACAACCAGTTCAACTCAACCAACAACAACAACAGCCACCTGTTGAACTAAACAATCAACAACCAACTGTTGAACTTAACAATCAACAACCATCTGTTGAACTAAACAATCAACAACCAACTGTTGAACTTAACAAACAACAACCATCTGTTGAACTAAACAATCAACAACCACCTGTTGAACTAAACAAACTACAGCCACCCGTTGAACTAAACAATCAACAACCAACTGTTGAACTTAACAATCAACAACCACCAACTGTTGCACTAAACCAACAACAACAAACAGTTGAACTACAAAAACAACAACCACCTGTTGAACTAAACAATCAACAACCACCTGTTGAACTAAACAATCAACCACCACCTGTGAACTAAACAAACAACAACCACCTGTA